GAGGAATCTAAATGACCCTCATTAGGGGAGTGACTAAATTGTAATATTTTTATATTAGAATGCTGTATATTTCTGCTTATAAGGAGACAGGTTAAGTTTCTCTTTATGGGCCTGAAAACTTCCTGACGCTCATTATATAAGCAATACTTTTTCCTTCTTTCACAGAAGAAAGGTAGAATTAAATTGTAACATTGGCAGTTTACAGCAAGATTTGTGTGCTGTTTTCAAGAAAATGGATACTCCTGTGAGAAGTCTTTGTTCATAAATACATGTTTTTCTGTTGTTTAATGTATCTATTGGGTTGGCCAAAAAGTTCGTTTGAGTTTGTCTGTAAGATGGTACAGAAAAACATGAACAAACTTTCTGGCCAACCCAATATTAGAAAATAAGAGGGAAGCACCCGTAGTGCCTCAAAGGAAATAAGAAAATTAAGACTGAATATCACCTGGGTTCCAAGTTTCTGCCATGGGAAGGAAATCAATACTGTGCTATCTTGACTATTGTAATTGTAAAGTAAGTTTTAAGATCATTTTTCAGCACATATAATATGTTGTTTCATTGTCTTCTGGCTTACATACTTAATTTTTGATGTTCTATTAACCTTACTATTGTTCTTGTGTATGTAATGTGTCATTTTGCTCTGGCTGCCCTTAAGATTTTTTATCTTTGGATGTCAGAGTTTAAGTGTAAAGGAGTGATTTTCTTTGTGTTTTCCTACTTGAGTAACTTCTTGGATCTATAAATTGATGTTTTCCACCAAATTTGGGATGCTTTTTGCCATAATTTCAGCAAATATTTTTTCTGTTTTTTTCACTCCTCTGCAGGGATTTCAATTACATGTATGTCGGACTTGTTTAAATTGACCTGCAGATCTCTTTGGTTCCTTCTTCTTTCTTTTTTTTTTTTCTCTCTTTTGTTTTTCAGATTTGGTAATTTCTATTTATATATCTATAAGTGCACTGATAGTTTCTTTCACTTTCTTCAAGTTGCTGTTGAGCACAGCAACTTTGCTTAACTTTGTTAAGCAAATTTTGTTTTAGTTATTGTACTTTTTATCTATAGAATTTTCTCTTTATAGTGTCCACTTTTCAGTTCTCATTCCTCTATTAAGTCACTGATAACATAGTTTCCTTTAATTCATTGAACACATTTTAGTTTAGTTCTTTGACTATATTTAGAGCAGATGCTTTGATATTCTGTCTGATAAATCTAACATGTAGGTCCACTTGGTGACATTTTCTATTGACTGCTTTTTATCCTAAGAAGGGGTCACAGTCCTTTTTCTTTGGCTGTCTAGTAATTTTTGGATGAAACCCAGACATTTCAGGTAATATTTTATAGCAACTCCAGTTTTTCCTCATGTTCTTCTGAGGAACATTGGTTTTTATTTCTAGTAGGCAGGTAACTTGCCTAGATTCCAACTTCATAGTTTGTTTCCTTGGTGGTATGCATTGGGTATCTGTTCTTATAGTTTCCCTTTGCTGATTTTTTTAGCTTGGCTTTTGTAAGCCTTCCCTCTGCCTGCCAAATTTGGCAGTCAGCCAAGCATTTGGGGGAGATATGGAGCTTATTTCTGTGGATTCCTTTTTCCTAGGGATTTTCATGAATTTTCCAGTTGTTCTGACAGGTTTTGGCTTTGTATACTTAACATTTCAAGCCTGTTCAGCTTCAGTTTTCTGCCACTTAAGCTATACACAGTTGTAGAGTGCACTCAGTTTAGCAAACCTTCAGACGCATAGCTCTGGTTCTTTATAGCTCAATCTTTCTAATATATTTCTTTCTGTTTTCTGTCTGTGTTTTTGATGGACCCCCTGGAATCTTCCCCATGCTTGCATAGTTTTGCTGTCAGCTAGGGGTTTTGGATATTTATGCTCTCAATTGTTTCCAAGAATTCCTCCTTTAAGTTTCTAGCTGTTTTCCCAGCTCTGAATTCTAATCTCTGGCACCTTTAATCACTTCTATAGTCATGAAACTTGGGCCAGTAAACCACAAACTTAATTCATACCCTTCTTATTGCAGTTCTTTTAAAACTGAATGTTCCTCCAGCCTCTATTTTTTGGACACTTACCAGTGTCTTTAAATACTATTTAAAAATTTTTTTTTAATATTTAATGTTTGTTATTTAAGGGGTTCACAGGATAAGTTGCATCTTCTCCATTACTGGAAGTTGTAGGGCCTTGAATAAGCACAAACTTGCAATTCTTACCCTTCTTGTTGCAGTTCTTCTAACATTAAATTCTCCTCCAGCTTGTGTCTGCTTTTTGGATGCTTTCCAGTGTCTTTACATAGTTATGTTTTAAAAATTTTACCTAATATTTTGTAGTTGTTACCTGTGGGAGTTCACAGTATCACTTCTGTAATACTAGAAGTTGCAAGGCCTTGAAAAGCTATAGTTAGCTAATTTTAAGAAAAAGATCATTGAATACCCTGGTTTATCACTTGACTGTGAAGGACAAGTGCTGTATATATGAAAGAACTGTTGCCCCTATCAAGTTCTCACAAATGTTACTTACCTTGTGTTTGAACAGTCTATAGCTCTGTTTTAGGCCAGTTAATGTCAACTACTTACTATTATTTCCTAACATTTGGTTGAATCTCTTTATTTTAATACTTAGTTGGTTATTTGGTGTTGTGAAAGTCAGTATCTAGTAATTCTTCAGAAATTTAACAATTTAACTTCAGCCCTTATATCTTGCCCTGTAAAGAGACATGGGTATAGGACCAAATAGTGGCAGTTGGCCCATTCTCTACACTTCAGGGAGCTTCATTGTTGGTGAT